ATATGTACATCTATAATAAGGTTAGGCTATGTTTATCAACAGGAAACGTCCAAACTGACTGCAATGGCGCGCAAGCATCATGCTGTTGTTATGGTTACTTCCTCTGGGAAACGGTGTTCCTTAGCATCTTTTTTGTCTATTTTGGTAATTTAAAATATGCACACTGACTAAACTTGTAGGCTACCCTAATGTAATAATTTACAGAAACGTTTGACACCCCACCCCTCCCCAATTGAAAAAAAAGCAAGCATAAGACCCCCATCTTGGAGGGTTGACTGACACCACCAAATCCACCATATTTTTCACCTTTTTAAATGTATTTATATATTAGCATTGTAATAATTATACATTTTTTTTGTAATAATTACTTTTCCTGAACTTGAATACAACTAATCAGAATGAGAGTGATGTTTAGTATTTTACTTTTGGGAAGTCACTTTTGGTGAGACCCTAGAAGAAAAAAGACCCTGAAGAAAACGTTTGCGGTGATCGCAGCAACTCATTTGTGCATCCATTTTCACTGGACATCCTAGACTTTTAGACATCATGTAGTATAGAGAACATTCATTTCTTGTCCCCAGACTATTTCCCCTTCGTTGTGCAACATTTGACAGCACTTGACTTGACACTGAAATTGACAGATGGTTTGGTCTTTTCCTGCCTCCTCCAAGTCTCCCTGCTTTTGTCTTCATCACTCAAGACTGTTAGTTTAGTGATTACCGAATGCGGACACAGGAATGTCATGGATTGATAATGGGCACTTTGCCTCACAGGGTGTGCACGGCTAAGAATCAGGCGAGGAGTTAAAGATTATCTACCGGCACTATCACGTCTTGCAAAGCTATGCATTTCTGCTAGCGTCACCACATAGAACTGCAAAAATAATGACTGCATTCAAACAAACTTCCCAAACATTCCCCTGTCTGTCATTGGTCAGTCTAGCATATAGCCCCGCCCCAAACTCACACCATTGGTTGAGTGGGTGTTACTATGCCAGGCTAATCGGAATGTTTCGATAGCGCCACAGATTTGGAGTGTTTACATTTTTCAGGGGAATCAACCTACATTTTTTTTACTTGTACAGTAGTTGTTGGTTGGATAAACATTCAGATAAACTGACACGTTTAAGCTTTAAAGATCAGATTAAATTTAACTGAAGACACTAAGACTCTCTCTTTACTCTGTGCTAAGCCGCAAAGTTTTCTGTTCTTTCTTGATGTGTCAGTTTTGATTAGAGTTCTATAGAGGACACAAAAGGCATGATTTTCTTCTTTCTTTTTAATCTTTAATCTTTCTTTTTCTTCTTCCATATTATTTATGGTTGTCAAACAATGTGTAATGTTTGAAACATGTAATCACAATAATAGTCATTTAAAAATTAATCTCATATTTTCCTTCACATAGAATAAAACATTATTCAGACAGTTAGCATTAGACAGTACATTAGAATCTTAGTATGTAAAAAAAATTATTTATTTATGTTTTATACCTGTATCTATGAGTAATGCAACCTTTTTAAAGTATATTAGTTAAGCTTAATTTCTGCCTTCTCAGTGTAAATGAAATCAATGTAGTAGCACAGTTATAACTAGCAGTAATAAAATGTGTGATTAGAGTTCTATAGAGGACACAAAAGGCATGATTTTCTTCTTTCTTTTTAATCTTTAATCTTTCTTTTTCTTCTTCCATATTATTTATGGTTGTCAAACAATGTGTAATGTTTGAAACATGTAATCACAATAATAGTCATTTAAAAATTAATCTCATATTTTCCTTCACATAGAATAAAACATTATTCAGACAGTTAGCATTAGACAGTACATTAGAATCTTAGTATGTAAAAAAAATTATTTATTTATGTTTTATACCTGTATCTATGAGTAATGCAACCTTTTTAAAGTATATTAGTTAAGCTTAATTTCTGCCTTCTCAGTGTAAATGAAATCAATGTAGTAGCACAGTTATAACTAGCAGTAATAAAATGTGTTATATATATATATATATTTAACAATAATCCAATTAAAATAATCTGAATTTACTTGCTGATGAAGAAAATTGGAAACTGGCAGTAATTATATTACAAAATGACAGTTATTGTGAGAACATGAATAAGTAAAGACAGTTGTTGTAAAATAATAAACAAAAGTGGTGGGCCACAGTGCATGGGATGCAACCTACGTTTGAGAGTATGTATTTAGCAATGCTGGCCTGTTCAGTCTTGTCCCAATGTGCAGAGACCCCTCATATTTACACAGAAAACAATTTAAATGATCTCAACCTTTCTTATCTCTGCAGGGAGTCAATAAAACAGAGGACATTTTCAGGCAGTTCATAACACATAAATCCATTTTGTCAGCTTGTCAGTCACAGTCATGTATGAACTCACCCCGAAGGCAGTTTTTAATTGAATATATACAGTGTTACATGATATACACTGTGTAGCTGGTACATTATTTCTGTCACTCAGCCTTTTACCGTCATTAAATGTGCAGAGACCCCTCATATTTACACAGAAAACAATTTAAATGATCTCAACCTTTCTTATCTCTGTAGGGAGTCAATAAAACAGAGGACATTTTCAGGCATTTCATAACACATAAATCCATTTTGTCAGCTTGTCAGTCACAGTCATGTATGAACTCACCCCGAAGGCAGTTTTTAATTGAATATATACAGTGTTACATGATATACACTGTGTAGCTGGTACATTATTTCTGTCACTCAGCCTTTTACCGTCATTGTGAGAATATTTCCTGTAACTTAGCCTGTGGCATGTTGCATGTCAACACCATTATGGTTTTATCTTTAGACTTGCTGAATTGGGTTTCACAGGGCTTGACAGAAAAAAAGTTGTAATGTTATTTTGGTTCATGGATGTAAGAAAACAACAAATTACTAACTAAATCAGCATACAGCCTGAAAGGAGATGAAATACTGGAAAAGGTTAGGTGGTCTATGTGGTAATGTAAGAAAACAACAAATTACTAACTAAATCAGCATACAGCCTGAGTTTCTAATGCAAAATTAGCTCAAAGAGGAGATGAAATACTGGAAAAGGTTAGGTGGTCTATGTGGTGAACCAAAGCACTGAATGTTGCTCTGGGCTTGATTTATTTAGTCTGAACTGGCAATGTTGTGCTGGAAACAGTAGGAGGGCACTGTTCCTCTTAATCGTTCATCTGTTCCTCTCAGCCTAATTTTATCTGTTAAATTTGCATTACCATCTCTATGTTTGCGTGACTGATTTTGTTAAATTGGTGATGCATGCCACTAACAAGTGTCTGGCTGCATTAGATGTTAGTCTTTAACAGACATGCCTGTTGATGTTTTATTGGTGCCAAAACATTCAACCACATAACATGTCTTGTATTCCTCTGTAGGAAGAGTGAACTGACTCAGCGTTTCAGGAAAGAGTATCTGCCAGGGATTTGCCAGAAATGATGAATCAACCTGCACATCTGAATGGAAACAAATTAGTGCTTTGTCACCTGTGAATCACAATAATTGTTATGCTTGTAGGGACTAGCGCAGAGCTGGTTCATTGTTTCCTATGTTAGCGGCACACAGGAAATTCACACGTTTAAAGCCTTTGTTTTTTTCAACTTCTTGGTATCAGCAAAATCTCTGACCTGTAAGAACGTGCATTCACACTGACACAGATAGCGGTATATCTCAGTGATAAATTCAGACGAAAACAACAGACAGTTGCGTCAAACCACTTTAGTTGTGAAAACTATTATTAACAAATAATGTTTTTTTTTCTTAATTTAAATGATTCTTGTATGTATTAAACTGTTCTGTGAACTAAGGGTTTAGTGAACGTGTGTTGAGGTTTATGATGATGGTGTCTGGTTTGAGGGGAAATGTAGATGTTTTCTATCTCTTGCTTGAAGAAGAATTGAACACATCTGAACATTTTTATTTGCTTCCTAACCCTAATGTTTAGAGAGTCGGGCTTGTAACCCAAAGGTTGCGGGTTCGAGTCGCAGGAATTGTCGGTGGGGTGGAGTGAATATCCAGCGCTCTCTTCCTCCCTCAATACCACAACTGAGGTGAGACCCTTGAGCAAGTCACCAAACCCCCAACTGCTCCCCGGGCGCCGCAGCATTGGCTGCCCACTGCTCCGGGTGTGTGTTCACTACTGTGTGTGTGCACTTGGATGGGTTAAATGCAGAGCACAAATTCTGAGTATGGATCACCATACTTGGCCACACGTCACTTCCCTTTCACTTCAATTTTTATGTCTGTTTTAAGAATAATGTTTCATCGCAGTACCATGTTTTGTTCTTAGTTCAGTATCAGAACGAGTAGGCTTGAGATCCCATTTCATCTCTAAAATTAAAAAACAAAGGATTAACATTTTTATACATTGTGATATTATTTTCATGGGAATTAATCCAAGACCATAATGCATCTGGTGTCAGGATTCTGGACTGTTCTGTGTCGTGTTTTGCCCCTGTTTCTGTTCCTGTTTTTCCTTATTTGGTCATGTTCCTGTCCTCGTTTAGTTTGATTATGATTCCTGACACCTGTGTTTAGTAATTATCCCTTGTATTTAAGTTCCTGTTTGTTCAGTGTTCCTTTGTCGGTTCTACTTGTTGGATGTTGTGTAATTCCCCTGTGTTTCCAAGGATTAAAGACTGTTTATGTACTCCACATCTCCTTGTTCCGTGCTCCTCCCAGCACAGATCATGACATCTGGACCTTTCACTTTGGATTTTTTTTCACCCAGGATAAACTAATTCAGGATAGATTAAAGGCATTGGTTTCTGTTCCTGTTTTTCCTTATTTGGTCATGTTCCTGTCCTCGTTTAGTTTGATTATGATTCCTGACACCTGTGTTTAGTAATTATCCCTTGTATTTAAGTTCCTGTTTGTTCAGTGTTCCTTTGTCGGTTCTACTTGTTGGATGTTGTGTAATTCCCCTGTGTTTCCAAGGATTAAAGACTGTTTATGTACTCCACGTCTCCTTGTTCCGTGCTCCTCCCAGCACAGATCATGACATCTGGACCTTTCACTTTGGATTTTTTTTCACCCAGGATAAATTAATTCAGGATAGATTAAAGGCATTACAACATGTGGTATTATAATTACAATTGATGATTACAGTTTTTGAGAATTAGGAGCTAAAATTTACTTAATTATCATTAAAACAGAACAAAAAATCTTACATTTTAATTTGGAATTTTTATAATTTTATGAAAAATCATCTAAACATACTCTTTTGTGAGTTGAGCCCATCTATGGAAAGGCATGCAGCTTGTTTGATCTTTGTTCTTTATGTGATCACATTTACCTGTAGCATCTACCAAGACATTCAGCATGACCTATATCGCAGTCCAAACCTGTGCAAACAGGGGACTTCAGTTTGGTCTTTATAGTTTGAGCTTTAAAGTCATCCCTGTATCTCACTGTCGTGAGATTTAAACACTGTCACTTTGCAAAACTCCAAACTGAATCACTTTTCTTGTACGTTGTCTGTACTTAAACACCCTCCTGGTGATCTTAAAGGGTTAGTTCACCCAAAAATGAAAATTAGCCCATAAATTACTTACCCTCAAATCATCCTAGGTGTATATGACTTTCTTCTTTCAGACGAATCCAGTCGGAGTTATATAAAAAATTGTCTTTGATCTTTCAAGCTGTTTCATGGCACTCAGCTGGTGTTGCATGCTTCAGTCCAAAATAAGTTAAATAAAATGCGCCCATCCATAAAAAAAAAGTGTCTCACACGGCTCCGGGGGGTGAACAAAGTCCTTCTGTAGCGAGTTGATGCATTTTTGTAAGAAAAATATCCATATTCAAAACGTAATAATCCCTTTAATCTAGCTTGCACTCATTGTTGTAAAGGGAAGCAGCTCCGGGTTGATGACGTATGAGGTCAGCACTGCGCATGCGCCGGTGAGTCTCGTGAAAACCAACGTTTGTTAACAGGAGCAAAGGAAGCAAAGTTTCCTTACTTTAGCAAAGGAAAACCAGTCTCCTCTTGGCTTATATCGAAATCCTCCGACATTCTTCT